AAGGTTCTAGACATTTAGAAGGTAGAAAGTGCAAATAAGTATATGGCAATAGCCAGCCAAGGAGTTCTGTAAGATATGTAACAAATCTAGAAACCCAAAAACGGCAATTTCTCGAAAGAACCGTAGAGATTGAATACTAAGTGCCATTAGGCATGTATTGTGATTGTCGCTAAGAACATAATATATCTTATATTCTATTGCTAGTTCAATGAATGTCAATGCCAAACCAGAGACCAATAATTATGCCTTGAGACGATGTCATCCAAGATACTAGGAGGATGAAACATTGTGCAGTTGCCAAGCAGATGCCAGCATTACAGGCCTGCCTTTCCACCCAAGGAGGAGGCAGCCCTTCTCACTGCCAAGGGTGTAACCATCACACCCGTATACAGAAAGCATCATCCTTGCTTGACTCAAGCACTTCAACCCTATTACTTGAAACCCAGATCTGCCTAGCTGTCTTCGCCATTGATCAGCTCTTTCATGCCTTTCGATTCTATCTGTGCCCTCATAAGCTACAATGTTTCGAATTTCTTCTGCAAAGTGAAGCCTCTCTATCTTCATCCTTTGAGGACTATGTCTAGGTAAACTAGCCTCGAGGGAATCGAAAATGGCAGAGTAATAGTGAAGGGATTCAAGGAACCTCCCAAGAAAAAATGGTCCATTATGGTTTGCATCTTGCTCCACCATTGTAAGCAAAGTTGGGCCCAGTTTCCTGATTGCCTGGAGGATTGCTTTTAGAGATCCTCTACTCTCTTTGACATATTTGTGCAAGTGCATAATACTATTGATGAATAATGCTTCCCCTTCTCTTAAGTTGAGATTCTCTCTGGTCAAAAGCGATGGTGTAAGTGGCTCTGGTATCATGTGGAACTCCAATGATATGCCTAGCGAGCTAGCATCCTCGACAAGGGACTTCATGCTGGCTTCAAGCTCTAGCAGATCTTGATTACTGGTTAATCCAGTGATTCGGAGAGTTGGGAGACCTTCAGGCCTTGATGCTAGAGTTCTTATCAGGGAAGGCCATTGAAGGGTGTGTTCCATTCCTAGGTCAATGATGTGCAAAGAATCCTTCCCTTGTGCTGCTTGACATATAGCTTCATTCGCAGCCATGAAACCAAAAGCAATGTAAGGAGTTGTTTGGTAAAGGAGTTGAAAAGCCTCCATTTTCTCCTCCCTAGTTATCAAGGGCAAATCCATTGCACAGTTTGTGATTGTGCCATTTGCATTGACATTTTGAAGAAGTGATAATCTGGACTTCAAGCCTGTTGCAAAGCAATAGGAAACCCTTTGCAGTGAATCACCCCAAGGAGTAGCCGATGCCCAAATTTGGCAGAGCATAGAGTTTGCAAGCTGTGTGTCGCGGCAGCCCACAGCCTCGGCGCATGCCAGCAACAAATGCACCAAGTGAAGCCCTTGGTCTACACCATGGCTCACCTCTTCCACACTAGGCACCATTTCATGTACTCCAAAATCTTCACATGAGCCACTCATCTCCAATTCATCTCCCAAATCTTCATTTACCATCGAAAATGCACCAATTTCATCTTGAAAATGATGGAAATCTTGGTTCTTATTGGAGTTACGATCATCTCTATCTTCATCATCACCAACATCCATGTTAATGAAGCTATCAACAAAGTCATCTACCTCTGAAGCAGCTAAGTGGGGGGTGCCAGTTTCGTCATCAGGAGAAAAGGATTCAATCTCATTCATTGCCTCCTCCCACTCTCCTCGCTCCAACTCAACTCTTGCTCGGCAAAACCTTCGAATGGCAAAATCATGGTTGAAGCTTTGGTACAAGGGGAAGGACAACCAACCATTGATGCCTTCCATTGCTTCTTGGAGAAGTTGAGGGGTAGGGAGGAAATGGAATGAAGAGAGAGTAGTGACCGACCTAAAAGCCTAGTCCCATAACGTAAATATATATACTAGGATGCTTCCATTTTTTAGCTGCATTGGGTATGAATATTCTCTTTGTTTGGAGGTGAGGGGTTAAAATCTCATCCTGTAATTGATAAACAATTCTTTGTGAATAATGACAACTTTCTCACAATGGTTAATTTGTCCATTATTATCATCCCCATCCTTTGTTTATTGTGTTTTTACCTATTAATTAATACATCAAATTAACGTTGGACTGTTAGTTGAAGTATGTCTTTCTATGAAGTAGGGAAAGCCTTCATTTGGTAAAAGAAGGACAAATCTAGTCAACACCTCAGATTGAGATTGAGACTGAGACTGAGCCTCATGACATTAAAATTTGTTAATTATTTTCCATTTTAATAGTTTTTGGAAAGCAAAACTAGGAGAATTCAAATGAATGAATCAATTTGCATGGTTAACATATGATAATTAGCTAAAAGACTGGTGCCTCAGGGTTAAAGTTTTTATGTTTAAAACAAAAGTACATTGATCATGTAAATTTATTTATTGAGGGTTGGCAATGAGCCTATTCTCTACTTATGTCAATGTTGGAAGATGAAATTGAACAAGAAATATGCTGCAACTTTAACTTGGACTAAGGAGGAAACAAGAAACAAATTAATGGAATCATGGAAAACACCTTTGGGATTTCATCATGAAACATCATCTAACTAATTGACAACTCTTTTAGAACTGGTTCAATGAACATCATTTGGTGAATGAAAAGTCATTATGGTATATGGGTTTGTCCTTGTGGTACATGCTGGTTTTCAAAATTAATAGACAAGAAAAATGAAAATTTTGACCTTTGGTATGGGCATGGACAACATATGCAAGATTCATGCTTACTTGAGTACGAGTATCACAAAATATTGAATAAAGAGAAATGAAATATCCAGAGACCGTAATTTGAAATTGAATGGTAAAATAAATTATTCATTGAAAGAAGAACAAAATTGGAACATTCAAACATTTGATTTATTGGTTGATGTATGATCTTCTGTTTAAAGAGTAGGGTTCGAATTCTCTTCTCTCGATTAAAAAATGAAAAAGGGGAATAGATAGAGGATGGAAGAAAAAGACATGGGTGGGGTGGGGGGTGATAACAAGCAATGAATTTTGTTGTATTGCAATTAATAAAAGCAAGGGGCAAACAAATGTAGTGAAATTGCCGGCCTTAACAGACTAGCAATTTTGGGACGGTTACCTCAACAAATGTAGGTTCCATCAACCTTGTCTTCACCAACTTGATGTTGTTGTCACTGCCCATTTACCTCCTTTCCCTCCTTGGGCGGCCAACAAGCAATGTGACATTCAAGCTGGCCATGCCTTGCATTCCCATTCTTTTATATAATAACATGACAATTCAAAAATATAATATATCCATTTTCGTCAATAAATTTTTTTTATCAATATTCATACTATTATATGTGAAACCCATGACATTAAATCTGGATTAAACATAAAATATAAATTATTATTTTTCCATCTTTCAATTCTATCATTTATTAATTTATACTCGTAGGAATTTAATTATTATTGTGATGTCTCAATTTTAGTATTAATAATTTGAAAAGGTCTGTTATGATATATATAGAGAGTTATATTTGCTAGATATTTTTTGTAAATGTTTTTTTATTTTTTCACTTGGATGGTAAAAATATCGTCTAATATTAACTAATTGTTAGATACCATGTACCATAAGCCACGGATCTCACATCAATAAAAAATATGTGAGTCTTAGATTTATAAATAAGAGCCTTTTTTCACTTATAAATTATGTTTTTTTAGATTAAAAACATAAGTCCTTGACACCAAACACAGTGGACTATGTTAGAGTTTAGGTTAACATGATACGTTACTTAAAAGTAGAGTGCCAATTGCACCATTTTTTTCCTTACCTACCAATTTGTGCATTTCATTATTGTTTGGATATCAAAGTGATGAATTTTTTAAGAGTGGTCCGGCTTATAGTGTATGCGAAAAAAAGGACAATTGTTGTCCACTCTACTAGCATAGAGAATAGTTAAAAGCTCCTACCTTGTTGAAGGTTCAAATTCAATTGTGTGGATACTGTTGGAGGCCAAACTGTTGGGTGGTTTGGGTACTTTCTCCCTTTGTGGTGTACACGGGCTTGAGTAGAAACAAGAATAGTGTCGTATCTTCTCTCAATCAAGAGGATTTGCCATCGTGATTATGACATTACTTGGATAGGTGATATTTTGATTATTTTTCTTAAATTTTATTTGTATTAAAACCACTAAGGTGATCTATGGGCGGTGGCATGGCATGTTATGTTTAAATTTTATTTTTCGCTATATATGATAATTGTTATCTCTAAGTTTCATGTCATTCCAGCACCATGGCCACCTCTTACCCTTGCATAATGGACCTTTGTCCTTAGTTCCTCCAATTCATGCCTCAAGACATCTAAGACACTTTCAAGTTGAGAGTTTTTCTCAATCATCACCTTATGGGTTTCCTTCAGCATCTCTTGGACCTCCTTCTTATGCTCTTTCATGTGCTCTTCATGCACATCAAGGTAGTCTCACATCTCTTCGATTGTCACTTCCACCCTGGACAGCCTACCATCAAAAGTAAACACAAGGTCCCAAGAGCTAGATTTTCCCTTCCTACTGGCACGAGTTTCCTTGACCTCAAGCATGAATTCTAGTTCGTTTAACTCCTTAGTAGCCATTGCTTACCTCAAATCACCTCGTACTTAACTTGAACACTATTAGCTTGCAACTGATCGCAACTGATTGTAAACTAAATCTAAGCAAACCCATTAACTCGCAACTAATCATAATCACTTTAATACCAACTGTCACAAGGTGGTTCTTCAAACCACTCTTCGTGTGTTTTAAACTTACCCTTTTCCCAGATTCTCAAGCCTAAGTTAACCTAAATATGACTACGAACATCATCAAAGCCATAAGGGTCTTTGAAACAACACAATATACATAATGATATGCAAGCAAACACACACAAGCACAAGCCCTTAGACACATAGTACACACCCCACACACAGGTTGTAGAAGATTAAAGGAGTATGAGAGTGTGAGAGAAGATTTGAGAGTGAAATATCTTTTATTAATGAGTCAACAACTGTACAAATGTGTTACAAAGAGGGTATTTACAGAAAAGGGTCCCTCAACAGCCACTTAGGTTGTACAAGGCAGAAATGGGCAAGAATTTTCCCCCAATAATTTCCCTAGGCGAGAAAGTTACATTCCAGGCAATTCAGCCCGTTACAGGGGCTACATTGGTATATCGATTCTGCCTTCGTGGCATTGTGAAATATGTGTGGCTAGCATGTTTACGAGTGTGCAGTCGTTGCTTGCGCAAGTGGCCCTGCTGTCTTGATGCTGTGCACCATTTGGGTGCGAGTATTATGCACACACATTGAGCTAACTCAATAAAGTGCGGATTGGCTTGCCCATGTGTTGTTGGTGTTGTGCCCATGCCTTGCGTGGCCCGCTCACATGTCACGTTACAAATGGGGTTGTCTCCCCCACAAGTAGGCACGTCAATGGCCGCTCGGCTCCTTCTAGTACCCTGAATTGTCGTTTGTGGCACAAAGACTATATCAAAGGTCTCTTTCTCTAACACTAGTTTCATACATTCACAAACATCATGCTTCGAGCTTTGCCCTCCATCCCACTTGCACCATTTTTTGTTATATCCCTACTTACATACCAAAGTTTGTCTTTAAGTAATCCCTTTAATTTTTTTTTCTTTTAATTATTAGTTATACTTTCAAAAAAAAATTTGAATTTCAACTTTAATTTTGTTCAAATTTTTTAAATACAATTTAAATATACAACATGAAATTATAACCTATGAAATTTGAATATTTTTAACTCATACAAAAGGTTTTGTGCTTGGCTATACAATTATGTAACTACTATATTTGAATCTTGTGTTTTCGTTAATATTTACTTTGTTTACATTATATTTAAACAAATATTAGTTTTATCTAGCTTCCAGGACAATTCTTACTTTTTCAATGTCTAAAGCAATTTATTATTCTCAAAAGGCTTAGATATGAAAAAGCCTTTGAACTCAATTAAATATCTACATCTTAAACTTCTTTTATTGTAATTAATTGAGTTATACAAACTTAATACCTAATCAAGTCCTTACGTGGATAGAAACATTGACGTTGTTAGCTTTGATTGCCAACTAAGATATAAATACCACGTGGCATTTATTACGTAGATTAAATTTTGATTTGTGGCAAAAAAAAAAGAGTAATAGAGTAGAGGAAAAGAGGAATAAAAGTAAAAAGAAAATATTCTTAATTTTACATGTTCGTATGCTATATCAACGATTTTTCTACGTGACAAGAAAATATGTTAGCATTTATTTAATGAAAGTTATCATTTTTCTTTCAAAAAAAATTTAATTAAATATAAATAATTATACGAGCATTAAATTAATTGTAATCAAAAGGATGGAGTCTCTAGAGATAGACTTAACTAAGCTCAAGGCGTTTTTTGTATTTTGACCTACCTAAAATCCAAATTCAGTCCATACACTTAGAAGCTTCATTAGTTATGTTTTCCCTAAAATGAGCTTTATTTTAAAATAATAAAAACTTTGTGTGTCTTTAAATTTGCTTAAAATTGTTGTATATTTCTCAACCCAAAAATTTACATTTAAGATTTTTTTTATCCTAATGCAATCCAATTGATATTCAAAGAAAACTTATTTTCCTTGGATTTAATATTATTTTGGCATTATTGGTTTTTGAGAAATCAAAATTTTATATGCACTTGACTTGAAAATGCTCTTAGTAGATATACACATGCCACACGTGTTGCAATTATTTGTAATTAAGTTTAAGTTAAAGGCTAGCTCAATTATTTTTGGTACAAGTGATAACTCTATTATATAGAGTGTTTTTTTTACATTTTGGAGCTTAAATAGCTAAGTTTTTTAGATTT